CTGTCTGCACAGTGCAGGAGTCTCAGGTGAGCTTCTGTGAGCCTTATCTTTTAGACAACTGTTCAGAGTTAAAGTTGCTGAGGAAGCTGAACCACTGTGGACTCCTAATAAGACTCTGGAGGACTAACTGATGAGCCATTGCTGGGTTGTGTTTTTTCTTGAGAAAAATATGTATGTTTTTTTGTTGGATGTAGGAGTCCTGCTCCTTCAATTTGTGTTTCTCTTCCATTTTGTTTTTCTGCTAGTATCTTCCTTAAATAAGAAGTGTTGCTTCCTTGCATTAGTGTTCTGACTTGCCTTCTGTCCTTCCTAGTTAACACTGAAACATTAGCAGTTGAAAGCCTATGCATACACTGAAGGGGTCAGCAATACTGCATGACACAACTTACTGCCATAATAGAATACTGAACCTGAGTTTTTGCAACTTGCTTCAGTCTGATCTCTTTCAAAAGCCATGTTTAACTTTAGTTCTGGTTGTGGGTTTTTTAGGGGTCTGTTCATAATTGATGAGAATGGGATCTTGAGGCAGATAACAATCAATGATCTTCCTGTTGGCCGTTCTGTTGATGAAACCCTCAGGCTTGTCCAGGCTTTCCAGTTTACAGATAAACATGGAGAAGGTAAGGGTTTTTTCTAATCTTAAATGCTTCTCTAATGAACAGTATTAACTAGGCAAGTTAAATCAAGGTTTAGTGAAAGGTACTCTAATTATGTGTATAGATCTGCACAGCAAGTAATTGTGCATCTTGAAATGCAGCCGGTCATGTAAAGCTACTTGTTGAAGGGCACTATAGTATATATTTGTCTTACTCTAGTTAATGGTCCATTGACTACTTGCTAATGTTGAAATACCACTTAAACCAATGTGCTGTTGGATGTTTTGTCAAGCATGTAACACTTGTATCTTTCAATTAGACACACAAAATACTGGAGACAAAGAACATGTGATAACTTAGCCTGCAAGAGCATGAATATTTTAGACTTGGCACTCAGATTTGGTAGGCCATTAGTACTAATGCTGTGTTTTAAACATATAAATTCCTAGAAAGCCTGCTGATGTTTCTCCATGTGTAGTAAGGGGAAAATGGGTCAGTCTCTTTGTGTCCATAGTTCAAGTGATACAAAGTGCTTGAGGCTGGTAGCTTTTCAGCAGGAGTTACCAAAAACTGCAGATGATAGGTTCGAACCAGCTGATGGAAACTCAGAATTGCTAATGTATTAGTAGTCCTCAGCTGTGATTAAATTAATGACAGGTGTTGCTGCTGGTCATGCTTAACTTGCTTCAGAACTGGTAAGTCAATGGCAGTTTTTAATAAAACAGCTGCTATTGTGGCTATGCTATAGTCTAAAGAGTCAGTGTTTGTGAACTTGTATGCCCTCCTCTGTTGGCTGAGGAGAAATCATCATATTTGATGGGGCAGTCACATGTCATGCAAATGAAGTCTTTTGGTGTTTACCATGCCCTGGAGTAAGCAAGCACTTGGTTCCTTGAGTGCTACCTAGTGAAGAAGTGGAAATGAGTAAAATAAACTGGTTCCTTGAGTGCTACCTAGTGAAGAAATGGAAATGAGTAAAATAAACTGAACATAATGCCACACCAAATAATGTACCTTCTGTATGTTGCAAAGATGTGTACATGTTTTGAGTTGCTAGCTTGCTTTAATAATATATAAAACATGTTCTGTGGGAGTAGCTGGTTAAGTCTTGATGTTCTTATCATTTCAGTGTGCCCAGCTGGCTGGAAGCCTGGCAGTGACACAATCAAGCCTGATGTTCAGAAAAGTAAAGAGTATTTCTCCAAGCAGAAATAAACTTTCAGTCTGAGTGGAAACTAGTATGCCTTACATAAAGAGCACGCATCAGTTACTGAACATTGACTAAGTCATTGCATCTGAGTCAAGGGATCATGCTATAGGTATAAACAGTAACTTTTTTACTTGAAGGAAAGTTTGTCCTGTTGACAGTACCTTCATAAAATCCTAATGATATCTGTACATCAAGCCCTGTTGACTTTAGTGACAATGCAGTGTATGTGGTTAGTCATGTGTTGCATATAGAGCAGTGGTATCCTTTTGTAACTCTATTAAACTTATGAAAGAGCATACTGTCTACTGTTCTTACGTATAGTCATCAGGACAGCTGAAAGCAATGCAGATTGCACTTCTGAAAGCTCCATCTATTGAACTGTATGTAGAGAACTCAGTTCTAAAGGCCTTTTACAGCTCCATTAGAATGGAAATACTAACACTTAGTTTTTATGTTGCCGTAGTAAAGTACTCTCTGGTAGCAAAGCCATAAAGAGTTTAGGCAGAGGAACATGTTTTGATGTTGGTCCATCAGACTTAAGCAATACCACAGTGCCCAGAGCATGAAGCATAAATGACTGACAAAAGCCAGGCATATTTTCATGCACAGTGTAAAACTGATTTCTGCATCTACTTTGGTCAACACCATGACTATGCTAAATGTCTGGGAATCCGACATTCACTTTGAATGCAGTATGTACAAGGGTAGAAGACTGGGCTTTCTGGAAAGCAGACTTCTTTGGGTATATAATGTTCATCCCTAGTCACTCCCACTACACAGAATGGGAGTAAGAATATGCCACTTATCCATTAGCTTGTAGTCACATGATTAAGATCAAAAGAAGGGTGGCACTATAAAATCTGGTATTAAGATGTGCTCAGCCTCATCTTTAATCTTTGTATTCCAATTGATTATGTGCATACTGAAAATCTGACTATGGCTTTAAGTACACAGCAGACACAGCTTTAGTGTAAGATGTGCTCAGCCTCTCTTTAATCTTTGTATTCCAATTGATTATGTGGATACTGAAAATCTGAAAGCACATGACTATGGCTTTAAGTACACAGCAGACACAGCTTTAGTGAAAGCTTCATGGTAAAAGGTGGCTTGTAGTAAAGACCTGACCTTTGGAGTTGAGGATATGGGTAAGGAGTTATTGCCTAGCAATATAAGTGAGTTAGAACCTTGTGATCTTTATCTACCTGTAAAGATTAAGCTCTTAAAGGCCAAGACCTTGCCTCTAACTTCAGCTCCTTAAGTAGTAAACAAGTTCTGTCCTGCTTAAAATGAGCAATAATGAAGTTGAGGCCCAGGGCTACTTACATGATTCAAGTTAAAGTTGCATGCCTTGAGTAGTAAATGTGTCATCTTCAGTTGGAAAAAATAAAATTCTCACTGCATCCTTACTAGCAAATACTGCAGTAAAAACTAAAATAGCTAATTCCCTGCATCTTGCTTAAATGTCACAAATGTTCCTGAACATACATGAAAGTGATGCTTAGTTGGATTGTTTTGCTTATTATTTAAAATCTAAATTATTCTGATCAAGATAACAAATTGGGTGGCATGGAGAATTAACAAGTGTGTTTATATATCTGTAAGTGAATTAAGACTAATGCAGTATGGCTGAGTACAGTTATCTCTGTGTATCAAACTTCTTTCCCAGTAAATTAAAAGTTATGTCAGGGCTAATCTAATATAAAACTTACCTTAGCAGTATCTAGCTACACTAACCTTGAAATGTTACAAGAATGATTACAGCACTTCTTTGGAGGGTACAGTATTGATGTGCTCTTATCCTGGGCAATGGCCATCTTTACCCTGATCACCACTAAAGTGACTTTTGCTCCTACTTAGAAGTTAAATTGCACCTCCTTTGATGGGGCTGTTACCTCATATAGTGCTACCTGAGGGCCTGTTAGTCTGGCAAATAAGCCTCTGCTGGGCCCAGACTTAAGGGCCTTGCCATTAATGACCAAGTTCAGCCCCTCACCATGATATAAACAGCCTTTCTCAAATTCTTCAAGTTGTACTCATTTTCCAAATCTAAGAAATGCATTTAAAAGGAACAGACTAGCAGCTCTCTCGCCTACCTCTGTGAGGGGATAAAGGGGTTCTTTCACGTTCTGGTCTCAGAGCTCACTCACAGAAGTCGGTGGGGGTCGTCACACGCCCATCCCACGCCCTCGGAGGAAGAAGAGGGTCTGACAGCGGCAGAGCTCACCGCTCCTTACGGCTGCTGTCCGGGCTCAGGCGGCCGCCCTGGCCCCGCAGCCCGCTGCTCCTCAGCGCGGCGGCCCGGCCCG